TCCATGTTCTCTCTTCTCACAACATTGCCTGCCTACCGATTGTCCAGGACTCACAACCATATGTTAAAACTGGATGTATGTAGCAAGCCAGAATTATTTTTCTAACCTTCAATGACAAAGATTTATTGCATAAGATGTTCTTCATTTTATAAAATGCAGTTATTGCCTGTCGCTTGTCCGCTTTTCGACAGTGGCGAGTAAAGACAATATAAATTTTAACCCCTTAAGTATTATTATGGAAAGTAATGGCAAGATATGGAGTAAACGAACACCTTATCGAAGTGTGCATAAGTTTATACAGGGACTGTAGAAGTGTAGTTAGAATAAATCAGGGAACATCTCATCCATTCACAGTAACATCTGGAGTAAGACCGGGGTGTGTCTTATCACCACTGCTGTTTATCACCTACATCGACAGTATATGCAAGAATGCTAAGCCCATGAATGAAGATCTTAGTAAGATCAACGAATTGCTCTTTGCAGATGACCAGACCTTGATAGCAGATACAGCCATGAAATTGCAACAACATCTAACATCCATGAATGAAGAATGTAAAACAAATAATATGAGAATCAACACTGAAAAGACAGAAGTAATGTCAATAGGAAAAAAGAAGACAGATCCAAACATAGCAATAGAATACAAAGGCATTAAACAGGCATCTGAGTTTAAATATCTAGGAACTACATTTACCGAAGATGGGAAATCGGATAAAAAAATTGACATTAGATGCAGTAAAGCAAACCAAGTATTGGGACAGCTGGCACCCCTCTTACAGCATAAGACAATCCCAATCAGCACAAAAGGACATCTTATTCAAAGCATACTTATTCCAACTCTGTGCTACCAGTGCCAGACATGGTCACTCACAACAAACCATAAAAGAAAATTAGTAACCACGGAAATGAGATGTCTGAGAAGGGCTGTAGGAGTGACCATAAGAGATAAGATCAGGAATGAGATCATAAGAGAACAAGTCGGCACAGAACCAATTCTGTATTACATACAAAGACAGCAAGTGAAATGGTTTGCCCACTTAGAGAGAATGCCTTGTGACACCATACCATACAAAGCATACATGAAAAGAGAAGAAGGACGTAGAGCACGGGGTAGACCAAGAACAAGATGGAAGGATAACATCAGAGAAACTCTACAACAGCACGATGTGCCTATGGTCGAGGCAGCCAGAAGAGCTAGAAACAGAACCTTATATCTCCCTCGACACCCACAGCGGTAAAAGAGGAAGTGAAGAAGATGAAGAAGAACCCCTTAAGTATTTTCATGCCTTCTATAATAATGTAACAAGTTATAGCCGACTTTAAAAAAAAAAATATTTTTGCTTCGGCATACGCACCCAGTTTGAGAACCTCTGCTGTAATCCCTTATTCGAGTCAGTAGGCAAAGACCTTACCAGCTGCTATACCACGCAACTCCCGCTACGACAGACTTAGGCAACAGCAACTATTATATTAATGAGAGAGTAATTTCAGTCCATCGCAGTGTATGCAGAAACGAGTGTTAGGTAACCACTATTCGTATTCGGCCCGACCGCAACTATTCGGCCAAATACCGAATAATTTTTCGGTCGACTATTCGACCCCGAAGCGAATACGACGCGAATATTCGTTACAGCCCTAATTAGGACACCCGGCTACAGCCAAAGTAGGGCTTTAAAATAGTAAAGTATTGCGTCACATATTTGGGCAGGTGTAATAGTGCTCCACTGGTGTTTTCACGTTTTATAACTACCTGATCCTAAGACTGGGAGTTAAGATGGTGCAATGATAGCTGGCCAGTGTCGGCTCTGGAGTCTTGGATTCCACTCGGCATGTTATCGGATAGTTATACGAGTATTTGACTTTGTCTTCCAGCTCGACACGTCCTAAAATGGTTTCCAGGTAAACTTCTAACATTTAAAAGGGGTCGAGATGAGTAAAAAAACGCACTGGGTCCCCATTCTTCAATGAAAATATGGATTGTTGCACTTAATTATGCCCGATACTCTAATGGCGTGAAAATTGGATTTTAGTTAAATATAACTGACTACATCCTAGGGATCGACCGTTGTGTAGCAGCTACACACTCGCTAGCGGATCAGAAGGTCGTGGGTTTAGATCTCCACAGAGTCGGACTTTTTTTTTTTTAAATGACCTTTGCTCCCAGGTTGACCTAGCCTTGAGTAGGTACCAGGTTTAGTCCTGAGAAGTAAATGATGGAGTGATGCTGACCACATACGCGTTAAGTGCTGACTGGTTTGTAAAATATAGGTCTGGCCTATTTGCTGAACACGCCTGAAGACGTGAAATAGGAGCCTTTACTTGTTTTTGTTGTTGTTGTTTTAACGTTACTACATATGTAATGACTCCGCTCTTACTGCAACGACAGTGCACCAATTCTCTTTGCTCTGATCACATGCAGTCTGCTCTGATAAGTTCTCGAATACTACAACAGGAACACACGTCGAAAACATCAAAACAGCTGATAACGATTCAGTTTTAATCTGCAACGATGTCCTCAATACATACATGTCAGAGAATAAATGCCTAGGTTCTCAGAGCTTACGAGCACGTTATTACTTACAATAAAAACATAAGGAGTTATACTGTCACGGCATCCGACGCTTGCACTGCTCAAACTCACACAAATGCATCAAAAAGGTTGCAGGCACAGCAGACTTTCATTCGCTTCATTCCTCAATTCCGTGTCGTCATGGATTGGTTAGCCAGGTTTCTTCGGCTGGTAAGGTGAAACAATCACGCGCTCAATTCAGCCATGGCCAAACTTTAGTAATTTTCGAAGGCGTCGATTCAGCCTTCATTCACTTCATGCACTAAAGCAAGTGTGACCAGTGTAAGTGTAGTGTGTGTAGTGTAGTGTAGTGTGTGTAGTGTAAGACTTGTAGTGTGTGTAGTGTAGTGACTGTAGTGTATTTGTGTGTCAAGTGTTAGTGTAGTGTAGTGTAGTGTGTAGGTGTAGTGTGTGTAGTGTAGTGTGTGTGTGGGTGTGTGTGTAGTGTAGTGTGTGTAGTGTAGTGTGTGTAGTGTAGTGTGTGTAGTGTAGTGTAGTGTGTGTAGTGTATTGTGTGTAGTGTAGTGTGTGTAGTGTAGTGTGTGTAGTGTAGTGTGTGTGTGTAGTGTAGTGTGTGTAGTGTAGTGTGTGTAGTGTAGTGTGTGTAGTGTAGTGTGTGGTGTAGTGTAGTGTGTGGTGTAGTGTGTGTAGTGTAGTGTGTGTAGTGTAGTGTGTGGTGTAGTGTGTGTAGTGTATTGTGTGTAGTGTAGTGTGTGTAGTGTAGTGTGTGTAGTGTAGTGTGTTGTGTAGTGTGTAGTGTAGTGTGTGCAGTGTAGTGTGTGGTGTAGTATTGTGTAGTGTAGTGTAGTACAGTGTAGTGTAGTGTGTGTGTGTGTGTCTGTGTGTGTGTGTGAGTGAGTGTGGTATACGCGCGCAGGTGCTTATGCATTTTACTACCCATGCTTTTATGTTTTTTCTAGATATCCATATTAAGAATAGGTTATTTATACGATGATCTTCCCATTTACACACCATCGGTTGTAGGTCAACTCTATTGATAAGTTGGTTGGACAAGAGTACCGTGGTCAAGGCTATGGGTGTCGCAGTCTGTTGTTGTCTGGTTTTTCGGTTTTATTTCCTAGAAAGAGACGGCCTGTGACGTAGGTTTTATAACTCTCTAGGGGAGTTGTCTGTTAGCCCCAGTATCTAAATGTTTTAGAAGTGTTACAATTTCTGGCATGGTGAAATATACAACACGTTGTATGAGAGCGATTGCGGAATATCCCCGTGAGTTTGTGTGAAAGTCGGAGGCCGACCCATTAGAGGTGAGGTGGTCAGTAGGTCATCCAGTCAGAAGCGTGCTAGTGTGTAGCGGTCTGTAAAAGGGGAGACCAGCGTGAAATTTACGTTAAAATATTATTAATATAACATAACATGCTTTAGTGATTAAATATAACTCTGTGTGAAAGATTAGTGTTTGGAAGGGGTCAGGGTGCCCAACTAGTGACCTTTTTAAACCCAAAAAAAGAAATGCATTTGTTCTTCCTTTCCCTCTAGAATGTTCTCATGCATTTGTCACACTGTCAGCTTCTCATGACTTTTGGCCACGTAGGTCATATTCCTACTTCGTAAAGTTCCTGTTTATCTGGGCTTGCCACTTAGACTCTTCACTCCACACATGATTCTTCAGACCTCCCATTTAGAACAGTTTATGAAAATGAGATACCAAGAAGATAACTCACTACAATATCCTCGATCAGTACCTCAGAAAGTCACCCGAATCTGTAAATTATGCGAATCACTAGGAATGTATGTGTACCACGCATGCCAGACTATCCCAAAGAGAGTATTTTATGGCGAGCTCCAGCAAGGAAAGAGGTCCCAGAGAGGATATAAAAGGGCTATAAGGACACTCTGAAGACTGCTATCATTTCTTTTGGCGTCAACACAGCGAGGCTGCTGCACAAGACCGTCATGGATGGCGTATGTCTCTCAAACATGGTGCATCAGCCTGCCAGGCAGCGGAGGTTGTACATGCAGAGAAATGGAGGCAGACTAGACATAATCTACTTGCTAAACCCACACTTTCTGCGGCTTCCACCAGTTGTCCGCACTGCTCAAGAACTTTCCTAGCTCATATTGAACAATCAGGCACCTTCTAACTCATAATCATTGACAATTTCTACTTTAGATGAAAGTGATCTTCATTACTCGTGATTGACGAACAACATATTTTAGGTAAAAGTGAACTAGACAGACAATACATATCACACATACTAGACGAACCAATTTACACAACACGTAGTGATATACACATGCAAACAGAAATTCACTAACACATTTACAAGCACCTGCACGCTGACGCACACATTCACACTAGACACACAGACCAGGTAACAAATACAGATACAATCACAGACTCACGCACGCACGCAGACATAAATACACAGATACGATGGAAAACACATACACAGACACACATATGCAATACCTTGTCGTGGTCAACTGCAAGTGTAGAGTTCATAATTCCCTTGATGCTAGACAGTTCCACTAAGACACTGTCCAGCACTGTCTTCAGGCCCTTATTGTCTTGCTTTAGAACCTCATTGTCTTTCTTCAGGGCCTCACTGTCAATCTTCAACCCCTCCAGCTGTGTGTTTGTATTCGTCAGCTGTGAGTCAATCTTAACCAGGCTATACAAGAGGGTCGCTATAATAAAAAGATTTGCCAATATTGAGTGACATATTTCTTCTTCAGCGTCCTCTCTCTCTCTCTTTCTCTCTCTCTCTCTCTCTCTCTCTCTCTCTCTCTCTCTCTCTCTCTCTCTCTCTCTCTCTCTCTCTCTCTCTCTCTCTCAGAGTTCGGTGGGAGGATTACACATTTGCTAGCCGAAGGGCGACTTCGTCGTCGGTCGGGACAATATTTAAGTCTGTCCCTCTTGATCTATCAACACTGCAAGAGTCCTTTCAGAGCTACTTTGTGGCGAGCAATGCTAAGCTGTACTATACGACGCAAACAAACCTCATCACAACTATAACCAAAAGATTCCCTTTGGGGATGCTGGTTGGATGTGACGATTTTCGCAAGGCAAGTCAAACGTTCTTCTGCGCTTCTCTCTCTCTCTCTCTCTCTCTCTCTCTCTCTCTCTCTCTCTCTCTCTCTCTCTCTCTCTCTCTCTTATTTGTGTGGAAAAGATTGCCGATGTCAACTCCTGAGAGTAGTACTGGCAAATATATGAACGACAAAGACAGCCAATTAAAAATAAATATTGGTAAACAGGAAAATGTCAGGAAATATTTTGCAAGATACTCCGAGACTGGTCAAGGTCACATACCTACTCACCTATCCTCCCTCCCCCCACTCTCCCTCCCCCATTCTCCCTTTCCTCACCCTTCCTCCCCTACTCCCCCACCCCTCCCCCTCCCAGCCTCCACCCACACACACACTTATATACACGACTAGAAAACACAAACTGTTGACCGGAAAACGCAAAAGACAAGGATACATGGCATAGCCATTGTGTGGAGAGAGACTGAACAATACAGAATTACACTGACTTTAAACCTTCTTTTTTTTTTCTTGTTTGTTCGCCAGCTGTAGAATCCGGCGGAAAGTCTTGGTTGTTCGACTAACTAGACTAGCTTTGTGTCAAGACCTGCGTTTTGTGTGTACATCAGTTCAGGCCAATGCACTCTGACTTCAAAGGAATACCCAATTTTGTCGACGTCGAGCTTGCTGGGTAGTGAGTTGGTCTATTCTTGTTTTCTCAAAGAATGGGTCCGCGAATCCCGCACAGAAAGTCTTCACACCAGAAACATTACTATTCCCTCCTTATCCTAATATTCCAGTAGCACACATCCAGGCCCCTGTAGTAACCTGTATAATTATGTGAAAGGTAAAGGTTGAAGTGTGAACGGCAAGGCCTTTATACATTCTAGGACACGATACATGAGGTGGGATGTACTGTTTGCATCCTGGCCATATTTTGTCCCCCTCCAGATAATTCCTAAAAAGTACTAGAAATTACATGGCATGCTTTTGTGAGGCTGAGGTGACCCCAGTGAATTGTCAGTCGGGACAAATGTTGCCTTTTTCTGAGGATCGAGCTCTCACCCTTCACTCAGCAGACGAGCTCTTCAACTCTTCTTGTTGTTATAAGTTACGAAATTTAAAGCATCAATATACCAAGCAACTGATAAATGACCCAATAATACTGGGTTTATGCTATCAAAGCCGACGTGGACAGCCCTAGAAATATTTGAGATGAGATGTATGAGAACTACATGAAAGATGAGATATAAGAACTACACGAGAGATGAGATGTATAAGAACTACACGAGAGATGAGATGTATGAGAAGTACACGAGAGATGAGATGTATAAGAACTACACGAGGGATGAGATGTATGAGAACTACACGAGAGATGAGATGTATAAGAATTACCAGAGAGATGAGATTATGAGAACTACACGAAAGATGAGATGTATGAGAACTACACGAGAGATGAGATGTAAGAGAACTACACGAGAGATGAGATGTATAAGAACTACACGAGAGATGAGATGTATAAGAAATGAGGCGGGAAAGACAAGAGGAGACAAAGTCTCCTATTAAAAAATTGAAGGCAGATAACATGTAAATGATTTCAAAGAACATCAAAGATTCAAAAGGTTTAGTCATCTGGTCAGAATGTAATGAAATCAGCCAGCAAATAGAGAGTACTACATGAAAACAGCAGGCTATAGGTTGGGAGATAAAAGTAATACTAAAAAGTTAGTTGCGTATCCTTTACAGACAGAACATTGCAGAACCAACCCCAGCATTTTGTTGTGTGTGTGGCTGTTGTGGATTTTATAGGCAAACTTTCGTCCAGTTTGTCATTGCTTCAGACTGGTCGACCTCTCGATACCATTGTCGAAACCAATGCAAGGCGCAAGGCCTGCAGATGGGATCGGACCCAGTACTCTGGCATTACGAAGCTCGTTCGCAACACCTAAGCCACAGAAAAAGTGATAATACAGAAACAAAATATGATATTAACACAAGTTACGCTACTAGTAAAATACTAGGAACTATGTCTAACTTATTTCTACGGTGCTTTACGACATAATCTGTAGATAAAAGATCGTTTATTACCGTTTATTTGGGCAGCTGGTGCCAAGTTTTCTCTGACTGCATCCGGTTGGCCGTTAATGTTAACGAATTCTAATTCACACTGATAGGCGCCGTACAAGCAATCGAAGTCTCTCGAGAACCAGACGTTCAAGACCCCGTTGTACTTTGAGATGGTCCCTGTGACATTGATGACGTTGACATTGGATGGGTCCACGGATACTATCGGGGCAAACACTGAGATGAAGGCCAGCTTCACGGAGTTGCCTTTCTCTGTGGTATCATATATGGCCATGTTGATGATGGACTGGGAACTGTTGGCCACACACTGAATACGTCCACAGTAGAAGTCGTCGGGAGTTAGCTGCCTTGTGAAGTCCAGAACTGTGGAGTGGATTCATGCGATCGGTATCAGTATAACAGAAAAATGAACACAATGGTAATAGTAACAATTGAAGCAGTAGTGGCAGATATTGTAGTCATTGTTGTAGTAGCAATAATTGTAATAGTATTAGTAACAATACTGCCTTATTGTTAGTATGATGTCTCAAATAGCGCATAACTATCTAATTGCGCGTTTTTAATTAGTTGACGGAAAGCCCTTACGTCTAAAACCTATATAGACTCAGGTGCAAAAATAACTGCCAATGGAGTGGTTGAACTATAAGATATTCTTGTGTACAGTTTCAACAGTTTCACCCATTTTATTACAAAGATGTTTACACAAATTATGACAAAATTAGATTTCTGTCAGTAGCTATGCGTTTTTGTTTTTTAGTAGCATAATAGATATGTAGTAGTGGTTAATAGTCGTTATGATGTTATTAGCAACTGTAGTTGTTGCTGTAGTAGTAGTAGTAGTAGTAGTAGTAGTAGTAGTAGTAGCAGTAGTAGTAGTAGTAGTAGTAGTAGTAGTAGTAGTAGTAGCAGTAGCAGCAGCAGCAGCAGCAGCAGCAGCAGCAGCAGTAGCAGTAGTAGTAGTAGTAGTAGTAGTAGTAGTAGTAGTAGTAGCAGCAGCAGCAGCAGTAGTAGCAGCAATGGCAGCAGCAGTAGCAGCAGCAGTAGCAGCAGCAGTAGTAGTAGAAGCACGTAACCGACACTAAGAAAACATTGCTAGTGCTTTCTCCAACTCCACAATCGTTGCCTTACCAATTTCCTAGACTGGAAAAAAGGGGAGGGGAGTATTGGGGGGGGGGGGGGGGGGGCAGCTCCCAAAGGAGCTTTATCCAATTTAAAGATTATTATAGCTGTCAGTTTGAAATGGGTACCAGGATGGCTGTCTTAGGGAAATATAGACGGCCGGCTTAATGCCGATTGGTCTGAAAAAATATGGGACGCTCTTCCTATATACCCGATGCCCCTAAGGCGTGAAAAGGGATCTCTACTTATTTACTCTTACTATAGCTAAACTGCCAGTAAGTAAGTAAGTGAAGAAAACTGTTTCACACATAAGACCAGACCTATATTTTATAGACCCATCAGCACTCGGTGGGTGGTGTGGTCAGCATCACGCCGACCGCATTTACTTCCCATGACTTTACCTGTTACCCATTTAAGGCTAGGTCGAACCAGGCTATTTGTTAAAAAAAGCCCGGCTCCCTCAGGACTTGAACACACGATCTTCCGATCCGCAGGCGAGCGTTTAGCCGCTTCACTACTGCGGCTTCTTGTATAATAGTGACTAAATATAATATTAATAATATTGTTCTGAAGGGCAAAAGCAAAAGAAAAACTAACAGAACAGGATTCCAATAGAAACCTTCAAAGTGTAATAGAAATGACAATAACCTCGCCATTCTCCTGTAACCTGTCAGTATTGTTGTGAAAGAAATCAAAAGTGCTAAACAGGTGCAGACGAACACAATCAAGTCATAATGACGGTGTAAATATGGCTGCCCCACTTTTGACATGCACCAAAGAGGAGCAGCCTTGCGTTATCCGTTTTGAGATCAGCGGAGGGATGAAACTTATAAAAATTCATACTACGTTTCTTAACTCTCCATCAGTGGCCATGGAACAGAAGATTAGGAAAAAAAAAATTAGGAAAGTTACAGGCCTTAAGTTCCGTCATAATTTTCCTATGGGCAAGGGGAGGGTTCAAAAGACCTCATCTTTGTTCAAGTGCGTAAGTATATAACAAATGTAACGTGCTGACGGGTAATAAATTTCAAGTTCTAAATTCATTTTAAAGGAAAGAAGTTCGACAATTGTTTTATGACAGTTTTCGCCTACGTGATGTGATAATCTATACAGGCTGGCACTGTGATAAGGGGCAGGCGAAGCTCATTTGTGTTCTTAGCAAAAGTGAATGGACGTCGTTTATTGCAACAAAGCCTGGTCTGTGACACTACAGCATCTAGTTTAAGAATGGAGGCGGAGGCAGTCACTGCAGCCTTTCTCTGGCTTGAGAAATAGCTCTACACACATGTTGTAACTGTAACCGACTCACAGAGCATGTTGAAAAAGGTGGAGACCGGTAGTCTCATTGAAGACAAGCATCGTTTTAGAGGTCCCGGGTAGTCAACATCCTTTGGATATTTTCCCCAGGAAAAAACGGTGAATTAAGAAATGAACAGGCAGATAGACAAGCTGGTTCTGCACAACGTGGTGGTGAATTGATGAATGACAAGCTAGACGGTGTAATAGTTTGTGGGGACGAGTGAGCAGTGCAGAAGCAGAGATCAATCATCGTGGTCTGAATGGGGTTGTGAGAAGTACCAAGGGATCAGTTAAAAGATCAGCACTCAAGGGAAAGGGCAGAGGGAATTACAATCAAACTGCTATTGATACTATTTGAACTGGAACTCAGCGCCTGCTTCTGAAGATTGGAATGGGGCGCTTATGGGAATGTCCCGCTTATAGGAATGTCCCGAGTAATGTGGACTTTTAATTGAACCTTTAAACAAGCAATTATAATTATTTACTTCTTCTTCTCTTCTTACTTTGTTTTACCGGCTGTAAGCTCTGGCACAAAGTCCTGACTTTTTGTCAGTTTGCACTTTGGGTTTGTGCCAGGGCCTGAGTTTTGCGTGTACACCCGTTTTACTAGATTACTTGTGTGCAGATGGTTGCTCTTTGCCGCTCGTGCAAATCTACCTCGACTCTGAAGAAAGCTCCCAGTTAGTCGCTTCATACAACATGTTTTTTTTTGGGGGGGGGGGGTGACTAGGGGGGGGGGGGGGGGGGGCGTGAGGGGGCCAGGGTGGGGTGGGCTGTGGGTTCTATTCTTGCTTTTCCTAAAACTAAAACGCTAGGCAGGCCGTTTAGTCCTCTTAAAATGTGTTTGCGTTAGCGTGTTTATGCAGTCTGAGCCGAAAGGTTTTAGTGCCTCTGCTACCTAGACAGATTATCACCATCAAACACAAACTGTTTCACTTACCTTGACATTGAACCGCAACTAGAACCACAAAGACAAACACACAAACTGTCTGTAACGTCATCGTTTTTTTTTTTAACCAACAGACAAAAAGCGGGTTAGGTTTGAATGTCGTGTTCTGGCTGTCTTCTCTCAGTGTAAATATGCAATGTACAAAACCCTGGTGTCGAAATTGAAACATCTGTCTTTATAATCAGAAACATCGAGGTCAACAAAACAATTTATATCAGGTGGTTTTTCTGTCTCCGTACGCTGTCTGATTGCATTCTGTAAGACTAATAAATCACAGATAAGAATCAAACAGGCACACATCCGTTTAACCGTTTACCACGCTACTGGAGTACCTCAGTACCGTCGGGAAGTAATTTGTAGTCTAGTTCAGAAAGGTTGTTCTGTGAATTGTTTACATAAATGCTTGTCTGTCCAGAGGCGACGGAACTTGGATGCCTAAGTCCATTCTTCTTCTTCTTCTTCACCAGCTGTACACTCTAGCGGAAAGTTCTGGCTGTTCGTCCACTTATGAACTGCAGTCCTGCTCCAGAACCTGAGTGCGCATCAGTTTTACAAATCTGATTCACTTGAATGCAGACTGTTGGTTACTTACCTCTTATGCAGATGCACTCCGACTTTAAAGGAAGCTCCCCAACTAGTCGACTCTTACGACATGCTTTTAGGGAGGCAGTGGGTCTTTTCTTGATTCTCCACAATAGGGTCCTAAAACCCACACGGGGGGCTAAAGTCCATTAAAAGCACTCCCCGTAACCCCCACCACAAATATATATGTATATTAAAAGCGACCAATAATTTTAAAGGATACTACGAGACCCCTTTAACCTTGAATAGACATTGTCCCTGAAAGTTTTTGTTTTTATATTTTTATTTATTGGGAGTCGCCTGGGTGTAGCAGCTAGACGCTTGCCTGCGGTTTGGAGGGTCGTGTGTTCGGGTCCTGACGGTACCGGCCATTTTTTTCCAAAAATGACCTACTGAGGCCACCCCCCCCCCCCCACCCCGAACTCTAAAATGTGAAAGGCTTTTACGGTATATTTTCCAATAAAATTTGTGTGTGTGCCCTGTCCATCACCTGCGTCGCTTCCTCACCCCCTCATTGACTGGATTCTGGTTCTCTTCAGGAAAACTGACTGTAATAACGAAAATCCCAGGCGCGCCATTGCACGCTATTTATCTGTCAGTGCTACAAATTGTGTCGTGTCCCACAAGTTTGAGAACTCCTGAACGATAGATATGTGCCTCAAGAAAACACTAGCTCATGTTTCATCGTCACAAAACGCTTCAGATAATAAAATTAACGATAGCTGCATGTTTTGCAGAGAACGTTGCAAAACGATACCAGGGGTGTGAAAGCCGTTGGTCGATTTACAGGGTAATTTTGATGTCTACTAATTGCCATCGCTTCCGAACGGTTCGACTCTCCAGCCTTTCTTAGAATCAACGCAAAGCTGTCTTCTGCCTAAAAGCCCACAGCTCACTAAAAAATCTGTATATTGGAATTACAAAACTGAGTTCACAAGCCTAATGTCACAGACGGCGACAACCAGGGCACGGCCAAAAAAAAAAAAAAAACTGAGATGAACCCACGACCTTCAGATCCCAAGCGAGCTTCTGGCCACTACACCATAGCGGCTCCCTGGATAGGACGAATAACCACCGGAACATTTGTACTGGATGAGGGAGATATTCTGAAGACCCTACAGGAACGACTGTTGACAGAAAACACGAGATTATATACAATAACATGGGTAAGAATGTGTGAACGAGGAATTATGAGTGGATCCGGCAAAGAGGGATGTATGAGAGGAAGGGAACCACGTGTGTGTAATCAATGTGCTACGGGAACAGTTAGCACCTTACGTCATTTGCTGCGGGAGACTAACACCTATGGGTATGCCCGGTGTGCTATGATCTCGATTTTTTAATTAGTTATTAAATGTTTGTTTTTCACAACCTGTACAAATACGGGGACATAAAAAGACGTGCGTGGACGTTCTGGTGACCTGGATGTTTCCAATTGACAGGTGTTTAAATTCCGTGACCAACGTTTTAAAGATTACATATTTAAACTTGGAGACAGAAGCCAGAACATGTCATTCACAAGCAGCTCACTGAAACCGCTTTTTGTCGGTTGTTATGACAAAAACGATGACGCTACAGACTGTTTGTGTGTTTGTCTCTGTGACCCTTGTTGTGGTTCAATGTCAAGGTAAGTGAAACAGTTTGTTTTTTATGGTGATAGTCTCACTAGATAACAGAGGCGCCGGAATCCGGGAGCTCAGACAGCATAAGCCCCCGGTCACAAACATAGTGTCATGGGACTTGTCACGCCCCCCCCCCCTCCCCCATCCATGTATGAACACTTCTCTTTTCAAGTTTGTGTTCATCGGTGACCGGTTCGCCCATTGACTCGCCAGTAGACGACTTCGTCGCGAGTAGGGACAGTATTTAGGTCTGCCTGTCTCTTGGTGGCGTGCATTTGCTAAGCCATTTTTATATAGCGCACATAACCTAGTCACTATGCCGATTTTGTGTGTGCAAAACAACTGAACGAAGTGTTTGTTGATGCATTTTGTATTATTTCATATATGCTGTTATAATTACTTGCTATAAAAAAAGAATGTCAATAAAATTACGCACTTACACTAGAATTAGACCTCTTGAGGTCCTTCCCTTCGAACGTTAGAAATTGTTAAGGGGTCTAGGCACCTCCCCTCCCCCTGCCCCTCATTTGTGCCGGCGTCTCTCCTGGAGGCAGAAGAAACTGAAGGACTTTGATGGGAACCTGATGGTTAGTTGTGCTAACACCAACAGACCGATTCTTTATCGCCATCGTCTTAAGTTCCTTGCTGACTGACCACGGCGATCACGACTCTGGACACCTAGCAACAAAAACACAAATCTCCGTAGCGAAGTTAGCAAGTCGTTTGCCTCATGTTATGAAGGTCGTGAGTTCGCTTCACGAATGCAGTTTTTATGAAATACATGGGGGTCGTCGCCAGAGCTAGGGAAAGTGTGCTTTATGCGATAAATAACTATTTCTATGGCTTCAGTAGTTACAAAGAGATATTTTGTTTGTTTTAAAGGAAAGGATGTGAACTTTAACCTATCTATCTCATTTGTCACTGTGTAAAGTTTGGATTACGAGTGTGGAAGGACCGCAGTAGTCTGGCTAGACTCTCGCCTGCTTGTCCAAAAGTCTTGGGTTTGAATCTGCATCAGGTCTGATTTATTTTTTAAAGTGACATTGGCTCCGAGGTTGACCCAGCCAAACTAAAATGGGTACCAGGTAAAGTCCTGGGAAGTAAAAACAGCCAGCTTATTAACCACATCAGCCATTGAATGCCGATTATGTAAGTCTAGCAGTATATGCTGTTTGCAGAAGGTGTGAAAATGGTCCATTACTGACTTTACCGTGGGGTCATTAGGACAGGGCAATAGAACAGGCAGAAAATCCCTACATTGAAAAACTAATGCAACAGGGGTTGAGTAGAGGTTTTGGAAGATATTCAGCACTCATGGGGGGAAACACAGGCAAACTTGTAATCAGATTGCAGCTATTACTTTTAGAACGTTACTTTTTGTTAGCCATTGAGGAAGGAGACGGAGCATGTTTGGGAATGTCCTGTGTGGGATGGTGTAAGTTCTTCACTGATTGGTTGGTTCATTCATTACTTTACTGCGTGCTTTATTAAAATCCTACCCCAAACAGGGGAAATCCACAGGTCACTAGACAGGGGGTGGTAAATAGGCTGTGTGCAGTTTTGGGACCTAGCCTGCAAGCATTCGTGGGACCTAGGCTGTACTATCTCGTGGGTTGAGGTAAAGGCCAGTTCTAGATTTTTTGGGGGTCGTTGAAAGCATCAGCAAGCCGGGAAACCAGGTTTTACCACCCTCCAAAATATTGGACTGTTCTGTGACGTCATCTGGGGGTAGGATATTTACTGTTATCATGTATGGAGTAACCTTAAAAAATAGCGAGTCCCTTGGTGTTTTATGGGTTAATTGAGACCCGAACCCAGACCAGAGTCCCTGGTCACAGTATGAGATGGCAATGCATGACTACATGTGTTAATAATTGTGACACATCATGATGATGAATGCTTTGTCCGGGAGGGACGACAACAATAGGGTCAGAAAGGTTTGGAACAGTGATTCCCAGTAGGCTAGGACCTGCGGACCCACCTTAGTTTCGAGGGTCTGCTACAGACCCCATAGTGTTGAATAGTTATACTGAAGAGATTGTAATTAATAACTATTAGAATCTCACAAAGGTTTGCAGTCTAAAACGAGTTTTTCAATGTGTGCACCAATAATGGGATCCTTTGACCACCAGGTTTAGAACGACTGCATTATCACATCTCATCCAGCAGACCAACAATCATCAGCTTAGTTGTGGTAGACATAAACCTGCCATGATAGAGTGCAGACCGGTCAACAAGGACGAAGACAAGATTGAGGTGTCAACAGAAATCATCTTTAAAGTAAAATATTCACCATAACAAAATATTCAAAAAATATCATTGGTTTCTTGGTGACGGTGGTGTTGAATCTACTGCTACTAGTACAGCAGTTGCTGCTATCACTACTTATTCTAATGTAGTATTGTTACTGCTACTAGTACTACAGTTGCTGCTATCACTACTTATTCTTATGTAGTATTGCTACTGCTACTAGTACTACAGTTGCTGCTATCACTATTTATTCTAATGTAGTATTGATACTAGTACTACAGTTGCTGCTATCATTACTTATTCTAATGTAGTATTGCTACTGCTACTAGTACTACAGTTGCTGCTATCACTACTTATTCTTATGTAGTATTGCTACTGCTACTAGTACAACAGTTGCTGCTATCACTACTTATTCTTATGTAGTATTGCTACTGCTACTAGTACAACAGTTGCTGCTATCACTACTTATTCTAATGTAGTATTGCTACTGCTACTAGTACTACAGTTGCTGCTATCACTATTTATTCTAATGTAGTATTGATACTAGTACTACAGTTGCTGCTATCATTACTTATTCTAATGTAGTATTGCTACTGCTACTAGTACTACAGTTGCTGCTATCACTACTTATTATTATGTAGTATTGCTACTGCTACTAGTACAACTACAACTATTGCTTCTGCTACAACTACTACTACTGCTCTTGCAATTATTTCTACTACCACTGTTACTACAGTATTATTTTTATGTTATTGTTTAATTGTACCAATACTAATTAAATTAACTTCACAGTTCTGGACTTCACGAAGCAGTCAACTCCCGGCGACAACTACTGTGGACATCTCCAATGTGTAGCCAACAGTTCCCAGCCCATCATCAACATGGCCATATATAATACCACAGAGAAAGACAACTCCGTGAAACTGGCCTCCATCTCTGTCTTTGCCCCGGATGTAATTGTAGACCCATCCAAGACTCGTGTAATCAATGCCACAGGAACCATCTCAAATTACCAAGGGGTCTTGAATATCGGCTTCTTGGGGGACATCGATTGCTTGCATGGGATGTTTCAATGTGAACTAGATTTCGTTAACATCAGCGGCAAGCCGGATGTGATCAGAGAAAACCTGGCCCCAGCCACCGAAGAAAAAGGTAATTAGTTCAGTTCTCCAGCCCTGTGTGCTTTCATGGTAAACGCATCTTCAGTGTCTTGTATCTATGTTCGCGGTGGTCTGCCTCTGCCTCATCTCCCGGAAACTGTACCCTTCATCACTGTTCTCTCCAGGCTATCGTGACTTTAAACATGGCCAAAATACTTCAGCTTTCGGGACAGGATGCTGTTTATGAGACAATTCTCCGTGATGTTTGGATCATGTAGGGTGTCGGTGTTTTTCTTCTTCTACGTCCACATTATTCTAAAGAATTGTCTGCAGCATTCTAGCTCAAAAGCTCAAATTTTATTCTTCATCTAAGATTGGATTGAGTAAGTGTCCTTGACTCACGTCCATAAATTGTCACTGAAAAGATGCACCATCTTGCAGATTTTGCGCCAAATATTCATCATGCTGTTTAGCCTCTACAGTAAGAGATTATGATCACACATTTGGTTAGCCTGCCTAGAGAATAGTTTGGGCTTAATCCTAGCAAACGGCAGGATTTTTCCTGACGAGACTTGACTGAGGTCGACCCAGCCCTCTCAAGGAATTGTCCGGAGAAGAGAGAAACATGTCATGGAAGGGAACAGTTCATTCGATCTAACTCCTATTCGATAGAAATGTGTAGGTTACTGCCGTGATCCGACGGTGTGGTACTTATTTATTAAAGCAAGCAATAGTAACGTTTATTCACAAACCTAAAGATGTAATAACTGTTGTTCTTGCAGCCGACATCTTGAACAGTCTGGCCCAGATTTCCACTCAGCTGAAGAATACGAACACACAGCTGGAGGGGCTGAAGCAAGACAACGAGGTTCTGAAGCAAGACAATGAGGTTCTGAAGCAAGACAATGAGGTTCTAAAGCAAGACATTGGGGTTTTGAAACAAGACAATGAGGATGTGAAGACAATGTTAGGCAGTGTCTTAGTGGAACTGTCAGGCATTAAGGGATTGCTGAACTCTTCACATGACAATGACCAGGTATAACAGGTATAAGTGTGTGTGTGTGTGTGTGTGTGTGTGTGTGCGTGCGCGCGCGTGTTTTTTCCCTTGTTTATATCTGTGTGCCTGTCTTTGTTGACAGATATTTGTCTATGTTTAAGGGTGTGCATCCGCGTGCGTGTGTGCGTATGGGATTCTTCTTCTTCTTCGCGTTCACTGGCTGTAAACTCTGGAGGAAAGTTGTAGTCTTCTTCTTGATTTTAGTCTTCTACCAGAACATAGGGGTTTAGCGTGCATATCCGTTTTACAGATCTGGCTTATTTGCATGCAGACCAATGGTTCCTTGCTTCTTAGTACACTTTGACTCGAAGTAGGTATGTGATTGTATTAGTACATTTTTAGTGAGTGAGTGTGTGTGTTTGTGTGTCTGAATCCTTTGGGTGTTTCTGCGTGCATGCGTGCGTGTGTGTGTGCGTGAGTGACTAATTGCGTATGTATGTCAATGTGCGTTGTGTGCTCTCTTTTGTCTAAAATAAGTGCTGTTAGTTTCCTCTCTGGTTCGCTAATGCTGGAGAACATTGAGCAAGGAGAGGAGTGAGGAGTACCACAGGAGAGGTCCGATCTGTGTAGGGTCATGGTCGCACTGGGAGTGCAGATATTGGCCAGTGGTTGCTACGAAGGTGGAAGTCCAACAGTTGATTCACGACAATTCTCGTCCTGATGATATAATTATTTATACATATAGCTCTGTGTTGAGAGGGAAGAAAAGCGCCTGGGGGTTCGTTGCCAAAGCTAATGAAACATATTTAGTGCAGGACATCCTAGCCTATGAGAAAGTAGGTGGAGATGGTCATTGCAACATTCTGGTGGCTTGAAAACAAGATGCATACACATGTCGTAGTTGTAATAGACTCTGACATATGCTGAGAAAGGTGAAGACAGGGATACTTCGAGCAGAGTGGACAGAGTCCCAAAGCGAACGTATACTGAAGTACCGCTGTAAACTGTACAGTTTATTGCATGGTATATTTCTTTCCGTCTCATCAAGTGCTGACTACATAATTTACACCAAATGAAGCGACAATAAATAATCAGTACCCTCCACCGAAATACACAAATCACATCCGGTTTACACACAGTTATTTCACAACGTGTCTCACCGTGGCAGTTATAAACTAACCAAGTGTTCCTTTCTATGTACAGTTATTGTTTTCTTCTTGTTCTTTTCCCGAGTCTTGTTGTGCTCCTCTGGCTCTGCATTCTTTGTATCTAAGTTAAGGACTCTCTATGGTGCAAAGTCCTACGGCAGTCTTGACACATGCAGCATCATTTGTTATTATCAGAAATAAAAATGAAAGGTGTTCGTAATACAACTAATAACACCACCATTCCTACTTACCACTACCCTTACTATTGTGTCATTACTACTACCACCACCACAACCACTTACATACCACTACTGCTACTATTACTAATGCTAAAATTACTCTGACCACTGCTATGCTCCTACTACTACTGCCACTGCTGCTGCTGCTACTACTACTACTACTACTACTACTACCACCACCACCACTACTACTACTACTACTACTACTACTACTACTACTGTTACTACCACCATCACTACTGCTATACCAGTACTAGTATTACTACTACCACCACTACATCTGCTATAATAACATCAATGCCACAGCCACTACTTTAGAATGTCTACTATAACTACTACCACAACGCTACTGTACCATTACTATTACCGTTACTACTACTAGTACCACTACTGTGGGTTAGCCGAAATAGGAGCACTTCCAGTAAACATATATGGTTGTGTCTCTTTCCCATAATCCCGTTACCTCTCTAGTCATTTCAGCAAAATGGAAGCTTGTGTTACCGAGGTATGCTGCACAAAAGTCCAAGAGATAAGTTCGTTCTCACAGGAAACGTCCAGGCGCTGTGTGACACAGAGACTGATGGTGGAGGTTGGGTCATTATACAGGTGATTCTCTATAATTTAATTTCAGTTAAGTAGTCAGCAAGTTTCTTTCTTCTTCTGAGATCAAAGTTTACTATGCGTTTAGTCCAGCATGAGTCACTGTCAGCATAGGTGCTCTGGGGGTCTTCGTCAGTTCCCTACAGCATCAGCGAGTTTACTACTATATAAGTTATAGAACCGGCGAGTATTTTACTATAAAAAGTATGGCATCGACGAATATTTCATTACTGAATCTTTTCGCCCTCCCCCACCCCACCCCCACCCCCACCCCCGGTCCCCCGAAACAATGCTAACCGGTATTAACAAACGTTACTACTGACAGAGTCTATGCTCCGCTTGGGGAGACAAAGGGAATAATAATAATAAGAAGAATATAGACTTAAAGTAGAAGGTGGACGGTGCATACGAAGAAGAAGAGGGAAAGATGTTGAATAAAGCCAAGGGCAGGAAAAGAATGAAAGCGAACTCCGACAACTTTACACCCAAATAATTATTAACTTTCCAGCCGAATAACGTGGATGCTTCATCTCTTCCGTATCCTCCTCTCTAATTCAGACACTCCGGTTCACACACAGTTATTTCACAACGTGTCTCACTGTGGCAGTTATAAACTAACTAAGTGTTCCTTTCTATGTACAGTTATTGTTTTCTTCTTGTTCTTCTCCCGAGTCTTGTTGTGCTCCTCTAATTCAGACACTCTGAGGATCTTCAATGAGCACATTTCTTGTCTTGCAGTATTTAATCCATGGGTCATAACTCAAGCATTCGCCGGGTTCTGTCTAATTTTATAACGGTTCTTCTTCTTCTTCTTCTTCTTCTTCTGTACGTCCTCTTTTACCACTTCGGGTGTCGATGAAGACTTTAGGTCCGACTTCGTGCTATTCTGGCTGTCTCGACCATAGATACATCGTGGTGCTGTAGAGTTTTTGTGATGTTGTCTTCCCATATTGTTCTTAGTCTACCACTTGCTCTACGACCATCTCCTCTTTAGGTATGGTATAGCATCAGAAGGCATTCTCTCCAAGTTGACAAACCATTTGAGTTGCTGTCTTGTATGTAATTTAGAATAGGTTCTGTACCGATTTTATCTCGTATGTACTCATTCCTGACTTTATATCTTGTGGTCTCCTACAGTCTTTCTCAAAAACTTCATTTCCTTGGTTACTAATTTTCTTTTATGTTTTGTTGTGTTGATAACGGTTGGTGGATGTTTTATATATTACGTTGTAAAAACAATGCTGTTTTCTGAATTATGTTGAAGGAATTGTCTTGTTCTTCGAACTGTATTTTTGAATAAACTATGTGGTTTTATGAGAGGAAATTTATGACATATGAAATCGTTAAGGTCTGGAGAGAATAGTACAGCTAGGAGTGACCAAGGCATCTGGTCGACACTCTACACTCAGAGGAAAGGCTAGACGGACATGTAGTCACACTGCTGCTAAAACCATCGGAACTGGAATCCTTCGCTGGCTGCTGAAGATGAGGACAGAGCGCTTATGAGAATGTACCGAGTGCTGTAATGTCAGTTCTTACCTCAACACAACGTGTTGCGCAAAATATATTATGTGTATTATATAACTATGGTGTTCACACAACATTGTTGTATGAAGAATTGTTATAAGAAATATTTGGTACTTACTATGTTGTTAAAGAACTACACATGTGAATATAGAAGTTTGAACTATGTCTAACGCATGGACGTCTGTATTTTATTCGCTTTTTCCGATTGTCCTCGAATGCCATGTCTCTGTTCCGGCCATTAGAGACGTGTGCGAGGAGATGTAGACTTCTATAGAGGCTGGGATGATTACAAGAGAGGGTTTGGAACCCCAGACACCGACTTCTGGATTGGAAATGACATTATTCACAACCTCACCTCACAGGTAACTGCAACTTGTATAACTTCTTGTTTCCCCACACAGCATTTTTTTAAAAATTGATTCGCCCCTTCTGGATTGTTAATCTTGTCAATTATACCAGAAGAGGCAAAGTGTAAATATCGCACCTTCGCTGTAAACATGCATAGCAAAATTGTGTTCAGAATATGAAGAAAAAGGACATATTGATCGAACAAAGAAGAATAAGTAAATGCTTTTGACCTCATGATGTCTTTACTGAGATAATTAGTGATATTTATTTGGGAATCTTTATCTCGACAAAAATCCAGCCTCTTAATTCCAGGGATAGATGTTGGCAATTGGTGATTGACATTAATCAGTTTTCTCGTGCGGCTTCCGGGGCCCTACTGGGGAAAGGGGGGCAGGGGGTGTGTTATATTCTTGTATAACCTCTATGTAGACTATGAGGTACAGAGCACTTATTTATATTAGTCCATATAATATGTATGTTTTCTGCACTGATACTTCTTCGTATCTGCAAACCAACCAAGTATGTAGAGTTAGGGTGCCTACGCTAATATGCAGCTGGATCTCTCATTGATGGCTGTGCTGCAGCTACTTGCCGTCCTGCATAATATACCACCTGTTACACTGGGCACAGTACCAGCAAATACAATTGTGACTATCCAATAAGAACATGGTGAACAAAGCACCCCCCCCCAAAAAAAAAAAACAGATGACTTATTGGCCACGTTTGTCGAACAGCTTGAAATCCACAACTATGGAATACGGACATAATTCATTTCAAATCATTGAAATGGCACCATAGGTTACATACATTTATATTATTGAAGCACATGTCGAATAACAAGCACAGCAACAATTTACGAACACAGGAGACCTTAATGCTTTGTTTAAAATACACATACATTTAAGAAAGGTATTTGATTGGGAGGATCGGTGTGTGTACGTCATTCCCATAAATAAACAAAAGGGAAACATTGAGATGGAAAAAAAACGGGGAAGAAACCATGACATTACCATACTGGTCATACAACAATAACAAGAAAGTAAATACAGTCAAAATATTAGCATAACTGGTTCACCAATAGTCCATAAGCTAAATCCGCATTTCATAATTACTGTCAATCCGATTGAATGGAATCATCTGTCCAAAACTACTTGAGAAAACCACTTGAGAAATTCACTATATAACCACAACCTCATAGGAATATCCTTGAAAATGTACATATCTGGAACACGTATATCGGTAATACTATAAAAGCATCCAAATGCCAAGAAAACTGATTTCCTTATGATGTGCCAGGAAATCTGGACAAATAGTCTGCAAGGACGTTCTCCTTGCCAGTTCGTAGATGATGGTATAGTTGAAAGTTTGTAGAAATAAAGTCCAACGGAGAATTCTGGCATTTGTAACAGAACCTATGCTCAAAACAGCAAGTGACTTGTGGTCTGTGATTACAAAAGAATTACTTCCTATCAGATACCTGTAGAATTTAGCAATAGACCAGTAAATTCCCAGTGCTTCTCTCTCTCCGACACTATAACGTGTTTCAGTGTCGGTCAGCTTGCGATTTGCATAGAGGCAAGGGTGTAAGGTCCCATCATACTTTTGGGAAATGACTGCTCCCACTGCGACATTTGAAGCATTTGAGGAAATATAAAAATCAAGTGACAGATTTAGTAATCTCAAAAATAGTTTATTGTTAAATGTTCTTTGTATATGGCTGAGTGTTTGTGCACAGGATTCGTCCCGAAACACCCCTTGAGTCATAGTCTTTCGTATCAACTCAGACAAAACAGATGTTAAAGAGAAATAATGGGGAATGAATTTAGCGTAGCAGTTACATAGACCCATAGGAGCTATAACATGATTTTAGGTCTTTTGGGTAGAAATTCTTATAATTTTGTCCACGTTATTGTCTTCTGGTTTAAGGAGACCATTTTCAACAACATGAGCCAAAAATTTTAGCTCGTGAAATGCTACCTGAACTTTAGAAGGGCGGATGGTTAAGCCAAATCTTTTAATATTATCGATAAGAAATTTCAAACCTCGAATGTGTATATCCAGATCATCATGAAATAGTAAGAGATCATCTATAGAGTAGATAAAGTGTGAACGATCTTGAGCTAGTTTTGTAACCAAACCTGTAAATGTAGCTGGAGAATTGGTTATCCCAAAACTCAAATATCTAAACTGAAAGAAGCCTCGAGATATCTGGAAGGAGTATATTGTGTAGCCTCCTCAGAAAGTGGGATTTGCGAATATCCTTTCGACAAATCTAGCCCTGTAAAATATTTACCTCCTGCTAACCCGTGAAACAAATCCTCTATATTTGGCATATTTTCAGCATCTAATACAGTAACACGGTTCAGTTTTCGGTAATCAATACAGATGCGTATGTTTCCATCTTTCTCCTTGACAATTACCATAGGAAAAAAATATGATGATCTGGATGGTTCTCATCGATTTCCTTCTCAACCGCTTCTTGATTATGAAGCGGTAGATTATGTGGTCGCAACTTAATTGGACGACCATCCACTAATTTGATGGTGTGTACAGCTTGCGTTGTTCTACCAGGAATGTCAGTAAACGTCGTTGGAAACGCCTGTAAGAGCTGTTGGAGTTGAAGCTGGTACTACTGGGAAATTGATAGTGAGATTTCCACATCTTACCACCACTCCTTTGGCTCTATAGCCGGCAACACGATATGCAGTAAAGTATTTTCCCCAGCATTACATGGAATTTCGTCAACCACGTAACATAAATTAGCATGTGAATTAGCCATATCTGTGTTCTCGATCTCCCTATTAGCAATTTCAATAACTGTCTCCAATTCTGCTTGATGTGGTTTAAAATGCTTGAGCATATTATTTAAGTATACTTTGCTATGTCCTCTCACATCTTCCTCACCACCTCAAATTGACCCCGGCAGCGTGTCAACAGTCGACTTGACGTATCCGGGAGAAGAATAAGAACCTGGTAAGAAGGTTTCAATAAACTTAGTCAGCGTCAGCATATTCATGATGTCTACTTCCGGCAACATCCAGGCTTTGTCTAGCAATTTCACAACCAGACATACTTTTGTGAAGTAACTCTGTCACAAACTCAGAGTATGTTGTGAAAAAACGGGAGAAATATTTCAGTCCGGCAAGAGTTAATTGCAAGTTTTAGTTAAAAGAATTGCGCACGTAAAATAAAAATATTTAAACATAGACGCTAAAAGAATAAAAAGGTACGAAGGCGCACATAATTTATGACGTTTTGTGGTGTTACTAGGAGATCTAATTTCGTCACAACACAGAACGATTGCCAGCCATACCATCGGCCTAACACCCACAATAAAAATACCATATACAATTTCAGGTGAGATTTATAATGGTAGGGAGTAGCTGAGATCCCCTATAAGCCTTAGCTGTATCCTAAAATATTTTATTGAGATCCTACTATTCTATATTCTACCGTTGTATAAATATTCCGTAACTTCATCAACCTTGATACTTGTCCGTTGGACAATTCACTAGTCCTTACATATTATGACGTTCTTAAAGTTACTATTCCCCGTTAGGACTATTCAATAGCGAACCCTTCTTCCCTCTGTCACTCTTATATTCTTTCGGTCTACTTGCGTAAAGATCTTATAGTAGAAACCATTATCCTGTGCCATGTGGTATCATCAGTTGGGTATACATTACATTGTTTATGTTATTAGATTATGCAACACATGATTTGGTTGAAAGTCGTCAGCATTGTGGGCATATAGGGTTGGCCTATGTGTTATAGACCAATTGGTACCTAGGTGTTGATGTGGTCAACATCACACCTGCCGCCTTTACTTCCCATTACTATACCTGGTGTCCGTTAAGGCGAAGTCGACCTGGGTTTTGGGACTCGAACTAATAACTGTCCAATCCGCAGGCGAATGTGTGTCCGCTTAATTATGTCAAGTTTTATATGATCGTGCCATAAATTAGATAGATAAACCAACATATTATAATAGGGTGGAGATGTATAATTTTGATTTACTTGTAGGGAAAGACAACATATGAACCTTGTTCTTTCTTGCTTACTACTCTGAAAAACACCACAGACACCGCAACACCTCCACCTGCTCCAGACGTGTCGACATAATGCTCAACACAGGGCTGAATGATGTATTCCGCAGGTTCCCGTGTTACCGTAGTCCTGCCTGCCTGTTTACCAGAGGACCATAATCCCGAGTTACCGTAGTCCTGCCTGCCTGTTTACCAGAGGACCATAATCCCGTGTTACCGTATTCTTGCCTGCCGGGTTACCAGAGGACCGTAATTCCCTATTTCGGTTGGCCTGTTTGCCTAGTTGCTTGGAGAACGTGAACCATATTCATAATTGCCGGGTTATCAGTGGACTTTCCTCCAAAGGAAACTACATTTCGGCTCATCAATACTATCGGAAAGCTGAGTGAAATTTGATGTTTGTTCAGAGTTTTGTGGTGTACATGATGACACCGTGATTTATTTTCTATATGTTAATTTGAAAATTGTTGAATTCAATATCAGTATTTTATCAATACAGTTGTTATTTAGAAACTCCATTTATCGATTTCATCCTATCAATTTTAACTTCTTAGGTAGACTAAAGATTGTTCATTGCAATTTATTTGAGTTAAATTTACAAAGTTTTGACTTTGGTTGTTTTCTGAATTTCTTTAGGAAATTTCCGGGGATTCACCCTATCCTTTAACTTTCTGTATTCTCCTTCCTCTATTTTCCAGAACTCAGGGACCGTTATAATTCCCCTAGACTTATTTAATTCGAGCCCTGTAAGTTATTTGGAAGGATATAGGGGATCTCCAGGCGACGATAGATTCCGCCAACAATAGTTGATTACAATTGGGAGCTCGTCCGGGATTTTTCAGAAGTTAGGTCATTAAAAGTAGTCATTAATAGGAAATTGGTAGGAATTGAAAGGTAAATAATATTAGGCAAAAATTAACTTTAGGGAAAATAATATAATAACTTTACACTTGTGTTAATTTGATTGG